GGTACAGTTGGCCCAACATTTATTTAAGCATATGCATATATTTTTAAAGCAGCAAATGCTATAAACCATTTGGTTTAACTCCAGTCTCCTTTTACAAGGCTAGGGGAGAAATTTATACCTTGAAGTACAGGAACTCTGTCCACGCTTGCTCTGCCTTTATCCACGGCTGGCCCTCTCAGCCACCTCCTGGCCCCATGCCCTACGAGGGTGGTGGAAAGACCCTCCTGTTCAATAACTGGCTCTGCAGGACTCCTGTCCTGGTTCCTTGTGCAGGAGCATCTCTGAGTTTCACCGTTCTGTTGTGTGAAGTTCCCAGTCCATGCTACATCCTGAAATATGAGCAGTCCTTGTCAGCCATAGTGAATTTTGTAGGAAGAAGAACCATTTCTGGGCTGAACGTGATGGAAAGATGCTCTCAGACTCCTCTTTCTAACTCTTAGAGATGGAATTTTATTATTTTACAACAGGCTGAGTATAAATGAGGCTCCCAGACTATGTATGGCTCCCTCCTATGGCCTCTGCTTACTCCCATTAAATAGATAGTATTGTCCATTTTTAGTCAGATCTCAAACACTTCAAGAAAAACAGCTGTTAAACAGAACAATAAAAAAAAAGTTTTTTCCATGAGAAATGCTACTCAGTTTTAACCTTCCAGCTTTCTCTGAATATTAGGACTTCCAATTTTTTTTACACAGAAGTAATCAGTTCTGCCTCTGGAAACTCTAGTGTGTGTTACTCATACCTTTTCCATGGTGCCTGCTTCTGACTGTCCCTGAAGTAAGACAAGCTCCATGCGGGCAGGGGCCGTGCCCCCAAGGCTATTAGCGAAGTGCCTGGCCCAGGGCAAGCATACATCTGCTATGGGAACAGAATGGCTGCCAGCAAGCTAAGATCCACAGGGAGGACGTGGATGCCATTAGAATCCCTTCCCTTTAACACATAGAAAGGAGACAGGGAGTCCTGGCCAATGTGGCTCAGTTGGTTGGAGTGTCATCCTGTAAACCAAGGTTGTGGGTTCGATTCCCGGTCAGGGCAGATATCTAGGGTGCGGGTTCAGTCCCTGGTCAGGGACTGAAAGTCAACGAATCAATGTTCTTCTCTCACATCAATGTTTCTCTTTCCTTCTCTCTCCACCCCTTCTATTCTCTCTGAAATCAATGAGCATGTCCTCAGGTGAGGATAAAAAAAAAAAAGGAAAGAGGGAATTTAATGCTTGGGCTCTTGGAAGAGAAAGGAGTATATGGTACAGCGATTTGGCCATGCAGCTTGTAACCACTGTGTCCCGAGTTTGCCTAGAGCAAACTGGATGTTGAAGGGAGAGAGGGGAGAAAACTTCAAGTGGAAAGGATCTAGCTCTTGCCTTGGCTGCTGCTGGAGCTAGCCCCCATTGTCGAGCAGTCCCTTCATGCACACGGCACCACCCCGAGAGCTGCAGGAGGAGAGCTGCCCGCCTCCCACTTGTAGCACGTTTGGCGTTCGAACATTTATCTTTTGGGCTGGCCAAAATGTCCATTTAGTTTTTAGCATAAAAAACATTTTTCATTTTCACCAATAACTTTATTGATTTGGGTATTTTGAGTATGCTGGCTATCTCTTGCATGGTGAAACATTGATTATTCTCAATTAATGTCTCGATTTGATTGTTATCAACTTTGTCTACCTGACCGTGGAACACTGTCCAGTGAGAAATCTCCAGCGCGAAACTCCACAAACCACTTTGACATGTTCGATCAGCCACAGCACCTTCTTCTCCACACACTGCACAAATCTTTTTTGCATTTCAGTTGCATTTTTACCTTTATTGAAATAATAAAGCATAATACACCAACAATGTGTATTTTCTTCCATCTTCAGTATTAAAATGTGTACACAAAAATTCACCAATTTTGATTAGTTTTTTTTTTAATGCACGCTGATATGACAGCTGTTGCAATACAATCTAACAAAATAGTTTTTGAATGAAGTTCAAGAAAGCTAAGCGCTACCTGAGCCATCTTACAGAAAAGACCAAACGAACGTTTTGGCCAACCCATACATGACAGGGCTGCCGCACCCGCCTTCCTGGTGCACTCCTTCCTCTATCCCGTCCCTCAGCCGGCTCCCCTCACCCGCCTGCTCACACTCACTCCACATTCACACCAGAGTCACCTCCGTGGAAAGAAAAGATTGATACTAAGTGCTGCTTCTCTACACTGAATCCAGCTGTTCCCAAAAGTTGGAGCCAGGACAAACACATTAGCCCAAGTTCCACCTTCAACTTCAAAAGCTAGGAAAGAAAATGGATCAGATAGCATCTCCCTGAGAGCAATTTTATAAAGTGGCTGGTGAGAGCCAGGGACCCAGCCTTGCAGGGAATTTATTTCCACATAAATTGACACCAGGGGTATTTATTGGAGTGCTCTTCCCACCAACAACTTAATGCCGAAGTCAGCATTTGAAAGCCCAGTGAGAAATTCGCGCTGGACACTGTGAATTAAATAGCTCTTGCAGGCTGTTCCTGACATTTTGGATTTTGCCTGGCGAGTTGATTTGACATGTAAGTTTCAGATTTTCTCAACTGTTCTGAGGTGGCCAGGTCACGTTCCTGGTCCAGAGCAAATGTGAGCCAGCGTGCTGGCCTAGAGACAGACCTGCTGTCCGGATCTGTCTCAACATCGGAGTTTCCCTGTAGATAAACGAACCTGGGCTCAGCCATTGAAGTTTCGACTTGACCGTTTGCCACTTCTTATCTCTTAATAATTTTTGCTTCAGAAAATTTCCAGAGATAACCTCATTAAGATATGTGAGGCTTACAGCATAAAGGGACAGTGATTACAAAATACTCTTCTAAGAATTGAGTTTTGTTGGCTAATACCAGAGTTCTTTGTGTCAGCTTGCTTCATGATTGTTTCCTGGGCTTGTTATTTTTGCTCTGTTATGACATAGGCTTCCTATATGAAGAAAAACAGCAGGGGATTTGAGATAGTCGAAGGAACAGAGAAAGGGCAAGTGCCCGATGACTGGCTTTACGTGAGGGAACATGAGTGAATGACTTGTTCTTTTATTTTTTTTTAAGACTTTTTATATATTCATTCATTTTCAGAGAAAGGGAGGGAGAGAAACATCAATGTGTGGTTGCCTCTCATGCACTCCCCCTACTGGGGACCTGGTCTGCAACCCAGGCTTGTGCCCTGACTGGGAATCAAACAGGTGACTGTTTGGTTTGCAGGCTGGCACTCAGTCCACTGAGCCACACCAGCCAGGGCTTCATATTTCCTTCTGAGTCTTGTTTGGTAGGATTTTCTAAATTTAAAAAAGGCAAAAGATTTATATGATCTGAAGAGAAACCAGAGTATTGGATTTTCTAAATTTATGTGAAATGAATCAACTCAACTGGCCAACTGTCTATCATGATGTTTACAATAGACATGCTTATGGTGCTTCAGCACTTTTTTATAATGTTCATCTAGCCCTGACTGGTGTGGCTCAGTTGGTTGGACAATCATCCTGTAAACCAAAAGGTCACAAGTTCAATTCCTGGTCTGAATACATGCCTGTGTTGCGAGCTGGGGTGCATGCATGCACATGAGGCAATCAATTGATGTTTCTCTTGCACATCAATATTTCTCTTCCTCTCTCCCTCCCTTCTCCTCACTAAAATCAATAAGCATGTCTTCAGGAGAGGATAAAAGAAAGTTCATCTAATATGCAACCACCTAATTGATGACCCGTAGGTTTTAAGGTTGGCCTGAAAGAGAGACATTTATTAATATAAGGATGCAGAGTTGTGAAGGTTTGGGCTGATCAGTGCTGGCCAACAGTGGGGATCTGGTTTCATTGGTGGGTTCTATGGCTTTAGGTCTGAAAAACAAGGTCCCAGTTCTTGACAGTGAGAGTGCGTTATGCGGTGTGGGAAGATGCAGAGAGACCAGGAGCAAAAAGCTCATGGACAAGAGCGTGGATTTTCGAGGGCCTCCTTTCATGACCTGACCTTTTTGTGGTCTGGTGACCATTCCTGTGGCTGGAGAAGACTGGCAGGCTAAAGTCCAGCTCTGCTGTGGTTGTGAGTGGTCAGGGGATGGGATGAAGAGAGGAACCCCTGAAACTTACTCCTCTCTTTCTTGTTGGCAAATCTAGTGTTTTGGAGCGGCCCCTTCTGCCCCTTCTGATTAAATCTAACCACGCCACAGCCACTGTTAGCTCTTACTAGAGTAATGGGGGAGCACAAGTGGCTACTTCACGGGGCTGTCAGGGAGCCCTGCTTATGTAGGTTTACCAAGTCCAAGGCCTAGTCCAACTGCCCTGCAGATCTGGGGCTGCAATACTCAGCAGCTCTGGAATGATGACCTGTGCTCTCCGACACACATCCGACTCAGCTGGGGCGGAAAGCCAGTTTGTAACTGACGGTGTGGAGTGGACCTTTCCAATAAGCAATGCATTTGCGATGTGGCGTGCTCTGTCCAAGTACCAATGTACATTGCACAGGGGACTAGAAGTCAGAATTAATGGCAGCCACATAAAAAAGAAGGGATCCAGGCAAAGGCCTTTAATCGACTTGTGTTAGAACCCACGAAGTCACCCCTGTAGCCCTGAAGTGCCCATCTTCTCCAACCCCCAAGTGTCTGAAACCATCAGATGCAGAATTTCTCTCCCTGCAGTAGCCATTTGCTGCTACTAACTCTACTTCTTTTTCTTTACTGTTTATCCTTGGTAGTAGGCCTTGGGTCTGGGATTTCACTAGGCTGCTGCTTTACATTGTGCACCGCATTCTATCTGAAAAGTTTCTTCAGACAGAGTTTCAGGCTGTGTACCGTAGAGCCATTTATTAAATAAAGGTTAAAGGAAATGCCTCTTGTGGTCTTATCAAATTACAAAGTGGGCACCACCATGAGAAATACTAGAAACCACTTTTTTCCCATAAAATGCGTAAACCCCAACTCACATGTTGGTAAGCAACACATGGGTGCCGGGTACTTTGGATGGGAGCCCAGAGTGGCTAACGCATGTGTCTTATCGCCCAGGCCAGTGACCGGCGCATTCACCTCGTCGTGTCCCGCCAGGTCCGTCAGCAGAGCCCTGACATCTTTCAGGAAGCCGGCTGGAGCAGCAACGGCAGCCAGTCCCCAGGGCCGGAGGACAGGAGCCACACTCCCAAGGTGAGGCCCGGCCAGGGTACGCCCACTGCTTCTGCGGGGAACCATTTCTTGGGAAGGCTGCACTTCAACATTTCTACGTGTCGTCTGTGGGCTCTATCACTTACACACTATGTGGTTTGTCTGGTAAAACAAAGAGCCCAGAGCCCCATCTTCAAGACCTGGTGGGGTAACATGTGTCTCCCATCTAAGCCGGAGAAAGGACGGTGCAGGAGAGGCTGGAAACCTGATCTTGCAGACCTCATACAGGGACCTTGTTTCCAGTCTAAGCCAAATAACTGTCATGTTTTTTTTTTCCAAGTCACTTTCTTTAAGGACTGTTTTTCATTCACTTTGAAATGAAACAAGAGGTTTACTTGGCTTCTGGATTTTGAAGTTCCCAGTCTGCCTGAAAATGAACAATTCCCCTGCTATTTTTAGTATGTTTGTTTTTGCAGAAGGACCCAAGAAATAATATAAACACTTGAAGTTCATGTAATATTAGGGTGTGGTGGGGATTGGGGCAAACCAAAAAGTACATGTCCTATCTTATGGAATTCAAATCTAGGAAAAAAATTTAGAACTGTGAATGAAAGCAGAATGTATCTGCAGGCAGAATGCATCCTTCAGGTAGGCAAACTGACATGAGATCACTCAGCCCAATTTCTGCTTCTGTCTGTGGCCGATATTAGAGGCAATGCTATAGCCTCTCCATTTGGGCGAGTGTCTAAGCAACACAAACCTTGCTTAGACCAAACCGAGTCCGAGTCCCACAGCCTTGGCTTGGCATCCTATTGTGATGGCAATGAGTTTCCAGCCATTGTTTCTTCTGGGATCTGGTTTCATTAAATCACTTGCAACTTAAAAAATAAAAAATCTTACAGATAGCCCATTCTTCTTGCATCAAATTAGGGAATGCCTACATACCACATCAGGCTATGCTTCAGTTTGGAACAACTCACAAGTTTGAATCTTTGAACAATGTATATAGAAACAATCCTGAGATTTTGATTTTGGGACTTCTCTCTGCTTTGTAGGCTGTTAATTACACAGCCTACAGGGCTACGCCCCCTCCCCATTTCACCAGCCATCCGGCCAAACCAGCCATGCCCCATAAATCTATAAATCCCAGGTTTATTTACAATAAATAAGCAATCTCAGTAGACCAAGCACCCCCTGCTAAACCATTTTATGGATAAGAATTCCAGGGTGTCTTTTCACTAGTAAACACTATTAGCTTGTTTAAATTAAGCTACTGCTATTTATTCATAGAGAACTAGTTGATTCTCTTAAAGTTTTATTCTGGTTAACTAATTGTAGGGAAATTAACTAGACTCTATTGTAGCTCATTAAATCACTAAAATGAAGCTTCCACCAGCACTGTGGTTGTAATAATTCCTCCCACCAAATCATAATGAATCGTGGAAAGAGCCCGGATGAGCTGATCAAATTTTTGCTGAGGTCCCAATTTTCCTCTTTACATCTATATTTCACTGATCAGACTTTTTTAAATGTTGAGTCTTGGTTTGTCTGCTCTGACCTACTTAAGTGGAAAATAATATTCCTCCCTTTTCCTAAAGGTGTACCTGGCCAATCTGTACATTATTCAAGCAATGTTTATTCACAACAAAATAATTAAAGCTTCATGAATTCCTATTAACTGGAGTGGCAGGAGAGAAGCCAGTGTAACTTCTGGAATAGTTCATAATACATGTAGCTTTGCTCCTCTCAAATGAATTTTGTGACACATTTTCTTTTAACCAAAGTATTCTTGGGTAAAAGTCCAATCTTCCGTTTGGTGACATTTCATTTAATTAATCTGTTTCATAGATTACCTTATTACAAATCTCACTGGCTAAATACTATGAGAAACCCAAATAACAATAAAAGATGTTCAAAGCTACTACAAAGAAAGACAAATTATTGGAATCGTTGTTTTCACCTGGGAAAATATCAATATTGATAAAACCCAGTACTGGAAGAATTCTGAGAAATCAGCATTTTCCACAATGTATTAGTAAAATTATAAATGATATAACTATTTTGAAGGTTATTCATGAATATTTATTGCCCAGATGCTTTGATTTAGCCATTGTCATTCTAGGCCATTGGCCTAAAAAAATAGTTACACCTGCGCAAGATACGTGTGCATAAAGATGTTCACAGTGTCCTGTTTAATTTCTCAGAAGACGGCAAACCACCTGTCCTCAGTGGGGATATAACATCCACAGCTGTTCAAGGATGATAGTGTGTGTGAGATGTATTTGTCTTCTAGAATATTTCATATTGTGCTTCAGACATCACCTTGGGAGATTGATCAGCTACCCATACAACACCTGTGCCCCACACGTGGAAAGAATGAAATGAAGCTCTTCTCTGTGAGCCTCAGGAGTAAATGCTTCATGAATATTCCCAGGAATGAGCTGAAGCAACAGGGCAGCCAGCAGGAGTCTCTGGGTTTAGAACTCTTGCCAAGCTGGGGGCACTTCAGAACTGCCTGCATCTCCAAGTGGGGCCCTTTTGAGAGATGTTTGTGATTAAAGGAAGGGACATCCTGCATCTAATTGCTTTTCAAAAGGGAAAGGTCATGTGCCGAGAATGGATCTTGAGAGCCCTTCTAAGTTTACTCCTTGGTCTCAGCTGGAGCGCTAGGACTGTTACTTGTCTTAGTCTGAAACTCTTCTCTGAAGAAAGTCCCATTTCAGTTTTATAACCCACATCTGATAACCATTATCTTCCAGGTTCTGGGGTTTACATAAACACAGTCCAGACCTTACAAGTAACATATAGCTGTAACATATATCTTGCCATAATTATTCATAATTCTGATTTATTATTCTATTACTACCAAAAACAGTTTGTGGCAATTTGCAGTGTATCCATCCATTTATTCAACAAACATGTACTTACCGTCTTCAATGCACTAAATGCCAGGTGCACAGTCATGGGCCGTTACTCTATACAATAAGGCCATTAAAACAGACACGGGTAACTTAAAAACATCGGAAATCGAGATAATAAGTATAAAGCCTATGCGAAAGCCTAGGCTTATCGTGCTTCATAATGAAGCATTTAAAATTAACCCTGTGCATGCGAGTAATAGTTCTATAAGATGTCAACAATCAGACTTACAAAAGTTTCCTATTAATCTGATCTGTTCAATAGATAATGTACATACAGGGTCCAAACGGATGGGATGTGTTAAGCCTCACCTGCCCGGATCTGTGCATTTCCACCTACCCGCAACGAAACCACTTTTCCTTCTAGTTTCTTGATGGAAATGCAAATAGTAATACAAATTCTCATTCTCCCCTCAGATGAGTTTTTAGTTTTTTTCTATGTAATCTACTGTTTTTCTTTGAGTTTATAATTGACTACTTACATAAATTAAAGTGACTACTTTATAAATTGACTACTTACATAACTTAAAATATAGTTACTTTTTTTAAACTTAGGAAAATTTCTGATATTCATGAATGACAAAGAGTTTTATGAAATGTTGACTCACTACTATCAGGAATGAATGAATCACTTGAAAAATGGGATGCTGTTTCACTTCATATACTTGATATTTCCCCAGTGGTCTCCAACCTGTTCCTCCTTCCATGTTACTGGTCCTGTGTGCAATGTAAACGTCCTCCGAATCACCCTATAGAATTCAGGATGGCGCTCTGCTGAGTGGGGGGGGGCAAAGCAAGGGTTCTCTGTGTGTGCCCCTCTGTGAGACCAAGTACCACCATCATACATTGTACACATGCAATTTTGGTAGTTTTTGTATGTAGGAAATACAAACTCATGTTTTTCTGTCTGTGCCTTTAGCCCCTCCATCCTGCGGTTACTTGTCATGAGAAGGTGGTTACTGTCCGAAAAGATCCCAGTGAATCTCTCGGCATGACCGTTGCAGGGGGAGCGTCCCACAGGGAGTGGGACTTGCCGATCTACGTCATCAGTGTTGAGCCCGGAGGAGTCATAAGCAGAGACGGAAGAATAAAAACAGGTAAGAAGTAGAGACTTCAGGTTCTGGAGCAGCAGTGTGAAAAGGAATTAGCAGCTAACTGTTTCCAGATTTAACGAGAGAATGTGAGGGTGCTCTGGCCAGGACATCTGTTACCCATTGACCTTGATGGGTTTGAGTGTAGTTGCTGGACTGGATTTCACCTCGCTCAGTTCATGTGGGTGCCATCTTGTGTGTTAGTAAAAAGCAAGTATTGCAAACTATGCTAAGAATTCATAGGAAAATGCTACAGTTATGGAGAAGTTGCTTCCATTAAATGGTATAATCTAGTTCCCTTTATTCTAAATGATTCTTTGCTGGATTGATCCAATGTTGCAACTGTTCATGAATTGTCCCATTTTATGGGTTGGATAGAAATAATTGGATAGACTTGGATTAAATAAATATTAAGTGAAAGTACCACTCAATAGGTATTTTCCCACTAGTGACACGTCTCATTATGTGCCCTGGACTCCTGGAATGATGATGGCGAATTGTAGCCTTAGTAATATTGTCAGTTCACAGATAGAGGCAGCTCAGATGGTTGAGCAATTATGTTATTTAAGGATTCAGACTCAAAAAATAAAATGTGAGAAGTTTCTGAAGTACAGTCGCTCAGCCTGTGGAGCCAGAGGGGGGTGGGATGTTAAGGGATTTAGTCAGCCAACCTGATGGTGCTTCTTGTGTGGTCAGAAAGGACTCAAGCAAGGCCTTTCCTATATTTTCCCTATTTTTTAATTCTTGCTATGGTTATTCTGTGTAAAAAAAGCTAGTCAGAGGTGGCAGAAAATCAGGGTGAAGATGAAATAGAAAATGGAGGCAGGGGAGATATGCTTTTTAGTTTCTCTTGCTTTTGTTTTTCACCCAAGCACCTGGGTGGAGAATAATGAGGTCAACCAAGAAGTGACCTGTTAGTGAAACATGAGCAGATGATTATACAGTATGATGTATGGGAATGGTACAGCCTGCTTAGCCAGTGGTAGTTCTTAGCACCTTTGCAATGAAGAGAAATAACTCTTCCCTCCCTCCCTCCCTTCCTCCCTCTCTCTCTCTCTTTCTTCCTTTCTTCTTTCTTTCTTTCTAACTTTACTCCTCTTTATTGGTGTGACACTAGTTAACAAAATTATACAGGTGCACAATTCTACAACTTCTTTCTTCCTCTTTAAGAACACAGTTCCATGGTCCATTTTTTTTCTTAACTCCTGTCAACTCCTCTCCAGATACTCTAAGGGGTAGCTTCTTATTCATTTATTCAAACTACATTTATTAGGTGCCTACCACACACTAGGCTCTGTGCAGGCACTAAAAGCTTTTGCCAAGTGCTCTCCCTTTGTGCTAAAAACAGGAAACAAAAATGGGAGTGGAGATGCAAGTTTTCTTTGATTAAGTGGTAAATGAGGCTAATCTTCCTTCCTCCCCCCACCCCCTTTTTTTAAGGCAAGAGCCACACATCAATGGGTATGCTTTAGAAACCTCCAAACGTGACTTACAGAACTTAGAACGTTTTGGAGCATGCACACAGTTCACCATTTGCTGTGTGAGAATCCAGCCTCATATCAGTGCAAGAAGCTAATTGACATGCCCCTCAACATCACTACTTCCTGCATCCCAGTCACTCCCTGCCCCTTTGCACTTTACATAGAAGGTCCTATTTGCTCTCCTTCTAAGGATGGCTTCTGCTTCTCTGACCATCAGGTGACATTTTATTGAATGTGAATGGAATAGAACTAACAGAGGTCAGCCGGAGCAAGGCCGTTGCACTACTGAAAAGCACGTCCTCCTCGGTGGTTCTTAAAGTCTTGGAAGTCAAACAATGTGAGCCCCAGGAAGACTGTGGCAGCCCAGCAGCCCTGGACGCCAACCACAACACAGCCCCGGACGCCAACCACAACACAGCCCCAGCTGGTGACTGGTCCCCGTCCTGGGTCATGTGGCTGGAATTACCAGGGTGAGTCCCACTGAGAGATCCTTGGGGAGGATGCACAGAAAAGGATTTCGGGTGGCCCTGGGAAGAAATAACTGTATTTCTTAGACCACTATTGGACTCTTGGGCTGATTTATGGCACTAGTATATTAATGAACCCTGGGCTTGGTTATGAGACAATTTGAAATAATTGAATTCCCTTTTGTAACTGAAAATGCATGCAGAAATCATAGGGCAGAGAAGAAAGCTTGGATGTGGCAACACTATTAGGCATTCACAATGAGTCAGTCACAGGTCTGCCACGTACAGTTGCTCCTGCAATGGGGAGTTCACACACCCTGGAGCAGGGGCAGGTTCACCCTTCCCTCATCTGCTAGCGGTACAGCCCTAGGAACTTGCACAGAGGATGATCCCCTTCTGTGGTTTTACCTCTTTAGCTTTTGGGTGGCCCAGCTAAACATAAAGTAACACAGCAGAACATTTTACTGTGACTGCATGTTTAAGCATGTTGACTGAGGACGTGTTTGATCTTCTCGCACTAGTTTCTATTCTCGTGAGGTTCTTGTATAAAACTTGAGGAAGCAGCTGAGCTGTCATTTTAGTGAGATGACTAGATTCTTACAGTAGAGCCATTTTTTTGTCTCAGAGACACTCTGGGACAGGATTTGGGGGGTAGCCTTGCTCAATGGCTGTATACCGAAATTAAGTATTTGGAGGACAGGTAAGCTGGGGTCTGCTCACCTGCATCAGAGCGTAAATTCTTGACCTTCGAAAGATTCTTACTAATTTCAAATGTGTGATTTAAATGTTAAACAATAGAGTCACTGAACATATATGCTGATTAGGATTAAATGAATGAATGAAAGCAGGATGTGTAGCTTTAGAACATTTTTTGAGGGTGGAGATATTGTCAGTCTCTCTCGTTCTTTTTAGTAATTTTAAATGAGGTTGGGGAAAAACAATCCCTGGCTCAAATACAAAGCGACCTAGATTCCTTTTTGAGCTTTCAGTAATTGATAAATTTTAAATGAGTGCGTTTTCAAACAGTCAAAAACTGGGCATTGAGGCAGTTTAAAAATCTTGAAACATTTTAGAACTGAGCCTAGGTGGAAGAGTTACTTTTATTGTTAAAAACATCTTTTTGAAACTGCTACCTAATGTAGATCACCTTTTAAATTTTGTGCTTCAAAGCTATTTTGTTATGTAGTCCAGGTTCATGTAAGATGGGACAAATGCAAGATGCTTTTTATTCCAAACATAAACAAGTGAATGGTTCTCTTTCCCTCCTTTTTCACTTTGTCTTGGGAGAGCACCTTCCTGCTTTTGCCAGAAGAATCTGGATTTGCTCATTCTTTTAAAAGAAGAGTAGAAAGGCAATGTGAAACAGTGCCAGCAGGGACAACCCTGGTTTTCAGTCACCATGGCTATTCTCAGTCTCCTTCCTCTCCTCCTCACAGTAATCTGATGAGCACATTACAAAATTCAGGGGCCACGAAAGCATACAGAGGGAAAGGTCTAGTCTCCCACCCCTGCTCCCTCAGACCCGCTCAACAGTCAGTCACACGTGTATCTTCCCAGGCAGTACCTATGTTAGGGGATGGCCAACTTTCTGAAAAGGGTCAGCGATTAGGCTTTGTGGGTCATACTGTCTCTGTCCCAACTCTTCAGCTCTGCTGTGGCAGCATGAAAGCAGCCACAGGCAATATGTAAATGAGCGGGCATGGCTGTTTATTTGCAAAACCAGGTGGTGGGACTGAGCTGTAGTTTGTTGACCTCTTGTTTATGTGTATCTGTACACACAGTGGTAGCATGCACATTATTATGTACCAATGAGTCTTTAAAAAAATTTTAATATATCTTGGGTATCACTTCATGCCAGTACATACTAAGCTGTCTCGTTCTTTCAACGGCTTAATATACCCTATTGTGTCAACGTACCACAATGTATTGAATTGATAGTGGACACTTAGGTTGTTTTCCATACTGACTTTCACAAACAATGCTACAGTAAGAATTCATAAGGAGTGTACAGGGACAGCATCCACTACCAACAGGAACTTGTATCAGTTTGCCTGGACATGCTAGGTCACACTCTTTGACCTTGTAGGCATTGCATCACTGTTAACTGGCATCGAGTCATGGTGCAGAGAAGTGAGGCCCACTTCATTGCTTCCCATCTTTGTGTGGCTTGGTCTTTTCACCTTAATATTAAAAATAACTTGTTATTTGGGTTCTTTTTCAGGGAGTCCTGATATGTATTAGATATCTTTGTGTTCCGTATCTCATCCATTTTCTCTTCAACAGTTTATTTCCATTGGTTTCTTTCCGTATTTTGATCTGTCCTTCACATCCCTTACTGTGTTTTCAGTAGTATCTGTTTTTGTAGTCACTTCTGTTGGTTCGTTTATTCTTGTCTCATATCTTCCTTGAAATCTTGTATCTCTACATTGATCTCACTTAGGAATTATTTCAGAAGTAGTTTAAATTCACAGTAATATGGCTGTTAAAAATTTCATTTTCTATAGCAGCATTTCTTTGGTGAGTGGTTTCTGTCTTACAGTTATTACTGTTACTATTGTTACTTTCCACTTTCGTAGTGTGTCTGCTGACTCTTTAATCTTTGTCTTTAGTTCTTTAATCTTTACTTCTCCCACACCAGCAAAGATCAGCCTTGCATGGAGGGTGGCTCACATTGCACGTCTCTCTCCTCCACCCTACCAACCACACTGACAGGCTCCTTCCTGTCCCTATGGGTTGTCTGTCTGGGTTATTACCTCACTCGTGCCCTTCTCCACCACAGTGGGCCCAGTGGGTCTGCTAATGGTCGGCCTTCCTCCTTCTGGTGTTCCCATGTAGAATGGGTGATTTGCCTAGCAGTGGATCATTCATGATGGCCCCCAGGGCTCTACCGGCTTGGCCTGCACTCTCCAGCTGTGGGAACTTCCTCTTCCATCCCCACTCTTTGACTCACTGCCCTTGCAAGTTCACCTGCGTATATGGTTACTCAGTTTTAAGATGGAGTTTCCACTTCTATGTTCAAGTTTCCTAGTTGCTAATTTAGTAATTTTAAAAAAAGCAAAAGGATACAACTAAAATAGGAATAGGAGCATCAATTACGCATTTTCACAATCATGCTGTACAACAACCAGCTGCAAAACCTCAGCAGAAAGTTATATATTTACCTAGGATTTGCCTGTTTGTGGCAAAAATCCCACTGATGATCTTATGGCTGAGTCCTGAATCAGAATAGGGAAAACACCACAAAGTTATGCAAGCAGGCATGGATGCCTGGAAAGGGTGACTGCTGGGGGCCAGCAATGCAATTATTTTGCCACAGTATGGAAGAACAAGGAGGTATTACTTGTTTCGAACATGTTGAGTATGAGATAACAGTGGGACCTCCAACTTTGTAAATGTCAGCTCTGGAATTATCAAAGTACTGACGAACGCAAAGAATCTCTGTATATAGGCTATATCTAATGATATTTACCTTATGGATTACTCTGAAGAGCTTATACTTATTTAAAATAATAAACATATTACATGTTAACAGTCTTTTCTAAGAAAAGCAGGATTTTTACAAATTAGAAGATCAGTAGTGTGTATTCTTGCAAACCTCTTTAATGTTTGGCTTAACAGATGGTATCTGGACTCTCCTTTCGGTTGCCAGATCACCTATCACGTGCTCTCTGGAAAAACACCACTGCGTGCTCATAAAAAAATGAGTGAAAGGCAAACAGTATCTTACTATTATGATACAAATGTATTTTTTTTTATCTCCGGACACTGAAAGGCACATAACTTGAGAGCCACATTTTGGTAATGTAGGGGCTCACTGAAACACTGAGATCCAATGAGAAGTGGGCTGAGGAAAGGGGTTGAAAGCCATTGAAGGAACAGCTAGTGAACAAAAACACGGACCCTTCCAGAGCAGCTAAAGACTTCCCCATACTTAACACCATACTTAACTCCTTTCGACAGAGTTTAAATTATTTTTAAGGTAACCATAATTTCTTATTTGGAAAAATTACCAAGCTCCTTGTTATTCTTTATACTTTAGCACATCTTTGATTTGTCCTATAATAAGTTCAAAATAGGAAAAAGCTCACAAGTAAATTCAGAGTTTAACAAATGTTACTGACCAACGCTGCGACTTAATAAAACATTTAACAAGACGTTTTATTGTTTTTTTCAAAAATCAGTTAATATTTTAAGGTACAGCTTATAAACAATATCTTGATTTTTTTTTTTATGAACATGTTAATTTTCTTTCCAATTAGTTTCTGGGCTGGGGGATTTTAGAGCCAAATCCAGCTTCTGACACACAACCTCTATCATCACTGTGACACAGTTTGCTTGTAGCCTGCACCTATGTTAACAGTGACCCAATAGCCACTGAATAGTAAAAGAACGCTTCTTCAAATCTCCTTTTCTATTTTAGCTGAGGATTCTACTCATTTACAAACACCTGTGGTCTCTCCTTCTCCCAGTCCTTCTATAACTTGCTATTCCATTTACTGCCAGTTTTCTCTCCTCCTATATGAATCATTCTCACAATCTTTAAGTGTACAATTTCCATTCATTTTATGCCTGCATGTCTTTATAGCCTTTATTAAATATGGAGAACTACATATAAACTAGTATTTTCCAAAAGTAAAAATTTCAACAAATGCATTAATTAGGGTAGGTTTAATATTTTTCACTGAAATTAATCATTTACTCAAATTATTTTGCCTTCATTAAAAATCGTATCTACAGGTAAATAAAAATGACATAAGTATGCTTGAATTTGGTTCACCTATAAGGCTTTATGCATATTCAACTTTGTTTAGTATAAATTGAAGCATTAAATCTTCAAGCCAAAAATATGATTACCTTTCCCAGCAGACATATAAGCAAAACATAATAGATGGTGTGATTTTAAAAGGGTGTTTAGCAATGGAAAATGGAAGTTCAATCAATGGGTTATGACATAATTTTGAGTGAGGCCCAACCAGTGCTATTTACTCTAAAAAATAATGCCAAAAGAAGGAATGGGAATTATTAACTATGAGTTCAACTTAACTATGCTTATATATTGATTAGACTACATTCTATTTCAGGTACCTGTATAACTGTAAAGATGTCATACTACGAAGAAACACAGCTGGAAGTCTGGGGTTCTGCATTGTAGGAGGTTATGAAGAATACAATGGGAACAAACCTTTTTTTATCAAATCCATTGTTGAAGGAACACCAGCATACAATGATGGAAGAATTAGGTAATGATAACTATTTAACAAAAAAAACCCCTATTATACATGTCAAAGCTTGGCCCAACTTGAAATAATGCATGTATTTATTATACCTTTTTTATTGGTAAGAAATTAAACACATCTACATAGCATTCAATCTAAGAAACCCAAAATAATTGTAAGTTACTTGGTCCCACACAGCAACTTCCTTCACTTTTGGCATCCCTTCCAATGCAAGCTGAGTGGGTCGAGTTTGCAGAATTTAAATGAGGGATGGGAAAAAAATCTTAGTGAGAAATAATGTAATTAAAATAGATGTAGCAAAAATTAGGACCATCAAATAAACCTGAATTAACTTCAGCTGTGGAGCAAAACGGTAACTATACACCTTGCTTTGTGTGTTCTGTTTCAGATGTGGTGACATTCTTCTGGCTGTGAACGGCAGAAGCACATCAGGAATGACGCATGCCTGCTTGGCGAGGATGCTCAAAGAACTTAAAGGAAAGATCACTCTGACCATTGTTTCTTGGCCTGGCACTTTTTTATAGAACGATGGGTCATAGAAAAACAGAAAATCACAATTAAGTTTAAACAATGTATTTATCTTGTCATTTTTTTGTATTTAAAGAATACACTGAAAAAATGTGAACTTTAATGTCAGCAAAAATATGATGTAATGGAAGCCAATTACACCTCAAAATATAATTCTCCAAACATAACATTACTAATAGTTTTTATTCAGTGTGGAGGATTTTGCATCACTAAACTTTATATTTTTCTATTTAATAAAAAGCTCTTAAACAGATGAAATGATTTGTATGCCCCCGATGAATTCAAATCATACAACTAAATTAAAAATCTGGTATATGCTGAGGTCTGCAAGGGTACATTCTAGGTGTTTTAAAATAATTTACACCCAGAGGATTTTATAAGTTAATTGCCAAAAAATGTTCCTTTCATCAAATGAGAAATAAATATTTTTTAAAAATTATAGGTGTCTTTAAGTATGTGATACTAAATTCATTTGTTACCACTGTCTAAAAGATCCTAGTAATTCTTTCAAAACCTTGTCGTTACCATCACTGACATGACAAATACTTTCTAAGTGTTAACCCCTGAAAATGCTCACAGAATTATATACTTGCTTTTTCTTAAATTTAATAGGAAATAACTAAAGCTCTTACCACTTTAGTCACAATATAGTTAGTAACTGTATAAAAAATCTTCAGGCTGCTCAACCAAGGAGCCTTGGGAAAAGCATCAAGAAAGACCAAACCAGCTGGACCCTGGCTCATACAGATGGCCACGAGGGAATTCGATTTGTGTCAGTGATGCGTGTCCCTGCGCCTGCTAGAAATGACACTTAGGATTAAGTTATTTCACAGAGGTCACCCAAAGACCCCTAGATTTTATTATTTTGGATATAAAAGTTCCCCATTTAATTTTGCCATGAACCCGGATTTAGAACACTGAATACTTGCTATCAGAAAGTTACGATGTCAAGGCTGCATGAGTTCTGTAATACGCTAAGCATCAGTGCCACAGCAGCAATGATAAAAGACTAGTTTTAGTCTCAAGACGCAGGAGGTGCCCTTGGATGCCTTTGCGGTGAAACCTCTTGAGAGACTAGTATTTGATTAACTCAAGAACACTATGGCCAAGGTGGAACCTTGACTTTTATCAGGTACTGGTATATACACAGCTAAACACAGCTCTTTAAATTCCCTGCTGAGTGAGTCATTCACATTACCTTCTTGGATATAAAGTCACTGCTGTATTATTTTTTAAATATTACAAAACAAAGATTTTTAACTTAACATGAAAAATTCACTCTTTTATTTTGGAAAAAAGTTTTTATACTAACAGAAGATTAAAGGTAAATTTCTTAAACATTATCCAGAAAAATAAACAAGATTTGTAGTATCTATTTCTGGCACTAATATTCACAAAAGGCTATATACCAGGCCTATTCTGCAGGTGCAGCTTCGGTGCTCTCCTGTTCAGGAGCAGGCTCGCTGCCCGCTTCTTTTCCTTCTTTGCTTCTTTTAGATTTTTTGTGCTTGTGTCTCCTGTGACTGTCTCCTTCTTCACTTTCATGGCGACGTCTACTATTACTGAAAAAGATGTAAGGTCTGTTCTTAAAAATGTTTAGGTACACAAGTGGTGACAAAAATCAATCCACTTTGTCTAGGTAAAACCTCAATGTGGGTATTAAAAAATTTAAAACATTATTTTTCTCAAAACATTTTAGGGAGTAGTTTTTTGTAACTTTCATGCTGAGATTGTATTTACTTTATAGGCTCATCTTTGCCAATATTATTTCCAGGGCCCATATATTTTATTTTTAAAGACAAATTACAAATGAGAAGCTGAAGCACTAAAGTAAGAAATACTTTCTAGGGTTCACTTTAGCCAAATAATAGGCACTATTATTTAATGCCCTGAATTTTTTTAATTAAACTGCTTTAATAATATTTACTATAAAAGACTGGCTCATATGCCAAATTCCCTCCTCCCAACAAGATAATGTAGAAAGCCCCATTTTCTCATATATTACTTTACATTCCATGCTCATTTTGGATTACTGGTATTAAATACAGTCTGGTCAGATTTAAAAATCTGTTGAAACCTATAAGGAATCAACTTTTTAAACATTATTCTTAATCTTCTAATTAGGAATACATATGCTCGACTGGTTATTGGGAAATCTTTGCTTTTACTTCCTGAAGTCAAATAAATTTCTCTGTCAGCTTCCAAGTATTTTACTATTTTATTAAAGAGCAAACCTTCGAGATGACTTGTGTCTGGTTTCCTCCTTCTCTCTGTGTCGTCTTTCTCTATGCCGCTCTTCTTTCTCCCGACTTGCTCTGTGACGCTCATAGCTTCTGTCTGCATACTCCCTGTATCTGTAACGTTCTTCGTCACTGAAACCGGAACAGAAACAACTGTTCTTGACAACTGGACTGTTAATACTTCATGATTTCAAACGGTAAAGGAAGTGACTTGAGTTCAAACCAGAAGCTCCCACATTAGCATCTTACAGAGAAATAGATGGAAAACAGTTGCTGAACTGAGAGGGAAATAAATAATGATGCCATTCCCTAATTAGTACTAAATCTAATACAAGACAATCTAATACAATCTAATACAAAATACATAGTAATTACATATCATGTTAAGGGATCAATTTTGTTCTGTTTTCATAATTGTTATGGAATAGAAATTTTAGAAAACTGCTATTTTCTTCAAAACTTGGGAGCTATAAATGATTTACATTTTAATTAGCTTTCTCTTACTCCTTTTAGAATTAAAAGCATGTTTGTATATTTCAGATATTCAACCAAAATCTTTACATTACTTGTAAAATACTGGGCACACAGTTAAGATTCTGAAAATGCATTTTAAATATTTGGCTCACGGTGGCTACATTACACAGTAGGAAGCAGATGAAGGTTCTTAAGTTTTCAATCACATAAAGGGTACATTCATCTAATAAAGAGGCACAGAAATGAAGAACAGAGGGACATCAAAGCAACTTCTACATTATCCACTCAAAAAGTTGCCTGTGGACACACACACTTGCATTCTGACATCCCAGCTACTTAATACTGTAAGTATGTGGTGAGAAGCAGGGATTCACATGGCCAACAACTTCAAATGCATAAGCTTCAGCTGTACCTCCACTTTCTGACTTGGCAAAGAATGGACTTGTAAAACCGGGACCAAGGGTAGTCTCCCTTCACCTCCCTAGCCCTGTCTCCTCTTTTCACATTCCTTCACCAACATTCCTCTCTCCACCTTTCTCCTAATCCTTTAAGTCTCTTATTTTCATTTTTGCTCAGCACAAAAGTCAATACTTTCTACAACTTAATATCAGTAAACTCAGAATAAAAATATCTTTTAGAGCACTGTGTTCTGAAGAGCCTTGGATTCTAGAAATATGTTTAATACAGATTATTAAATTAACTGGTCTGAAGTATCAAGGGGCTGAGGAATCTGAGGAGGAATAATAGGAAACAGAATCAGGTGAAAGTATAAGCCATATAATAGAACAAATCAGCCTGTGGTCTCCTAGCAACAGAAATGATTCAGTAGTGCTATGCCTAATGCAAGTCAGATTGCTGACCACGGTATTACTGCTTCAATACATTACATTTAAAAACATTTCATTAAAATAAGAAAAGGTACACATACACACACACACACCTGTGTGTGTACAATGTTTACATTCACACTATTTTTCTAACCATAAATACATACTTTGTATTTGGAAGGTGGAAGCAAGACACCTGAAAGGCAATGTGCCAGGACAGCGTGGAGCAGTGGGAAGAATACGGGCAGAGTGGGCCCAGGATCACATCCTAGTTCTACTACTTCCTAATTGTGTGACCCAGGGTAGGTGACCTCACTTCTCTAGATCTCAGTTTTCTTATCTGTAAAACTGGCAGCAATCTTTTTCAGGGCTGTTGTAGAACTGACAATAACATTTATGAAGTCTTGGTACAAGAGAAGGCCCTTAATAAAAGGCAGCTGACATGCAGGTTCACCATCTTCAGTAAATTTCATGCTAAATTTTTCAGAAGTAGCACCTTTTTTGTAATGGTGTCTGACGCTGTAATTAACATTTCTGATGCTGTAATTAACATTTCTGAAGCATAATAAACTAGCACACACCAGGACAAATAGCATTAATATTACCCTCTTAAAAAATGAGGCTCTGTCATGATTCCAAATGGGTTTACACTAAAATAAAGTCAATTATCTCATAATTTATCATTTGTAACCTTGCCCACCAAGGTTACCAATTCTTGATGTTTTTGAGGTCTTTTAAGATTCTGAAGGCAGTGATAGAATGGGAACCTTACTACAGATGATAGAATATTTGGTCTCATGCACGAAATCTGAAGATCCCTTTTTCTAGCCCTTTCTTTGATAAGCAGCTGTAGCACAAAGTTTCTCTGGGCCTGGAAATCATTAGACTTCACTCAAATACCCAGAACAAACAGACTTCAATCTGGCCCACAATTAAGTGGCCTAAAGACTACATGTTGAAACTGGTCTGTAATTTTCAGAACAATGACCCTATAATTTGTAACACAACACATACTACATGCCATATTGTCTTTAAAATTTTTTTTAAATGGCCTTTACTTATACTTCAGTTGGATTTCCCAAATAACAGTATTCCTGGGTTAATTCAGAACAACACAAAATTCCTATATTTTTTGCCTCTATGATCTTGAACTTTTAGTTAGATTTAGGTAAACAATGACTTCTGATGCCCTACAGCACAGCAACCTAAAAATTAACTGTGGTTTAATTATTAATACCTAAGTTCCGATAAAAATTAAGTAGCATTTGTGCATGTGTGTTTGAGTGAAAGAATTTAGACTCCAATATTCTATAAACCTTGTATTATTTATATTTATTCAAAGAAAATTTATGAGCTCTAGCAGAGCCATGACATTTAGTCATCTATCCTATCAGGTTTTGCATTAAGCTCCTTAACTTTTAAGTATGGACATTCTAGAGATAGCAGTGCTATCTCAAGTGTTTTAACTACATTAGAAACAACTCAACTTTCTGAAAAGTAATGCTTTTGAACTTAAAGGAATCATACTGACCTTCCTAACTAAAATTGACAGCACATGTCCTACATCACGTGAACACAAAACATACACACAAAAACATATCATAGATTAATCTAGTAAATAAAAATCTATCAGGTGCCTACAAAGTATAAGTCATATTATTAGGAACTATGGGAAGAAAAAAGATCAATAAATCCTGTTCAGCTTCTTACTGGGCATTGTTTTTAAAAAGTTTTAAACTACTAACGAGCCCTAGTCACCTTGGTAATACTATATAGTTAAATCTGAAAGGGTAGTGTATGAATGATTCTGTATCCTCAAGCATACAGCTTTGTGCCTGGTATATAACAAGAGACTCAGAAAATGTCAATTTCATGAATAAAAGAAGGAATTGCTATTC